CTTGAAATATGGGAAGTCGGATTCCCTTGTCAAGGTAGCATAAGCTTCCGGTGAGTTAACAAAATCCACCAGGTTAATATCCATGGCTCTTGTATATTCTCGGATCGATATTTTGCGATGTTCTCCTCCTAGTTTGAATTAGATATTGTCTTGTAGGTTGGTGGCACCTCACGTATCTTGAATGGTAAGAGTGATAATGAATTCCAGAAGAAGTACCCTGTAGATGTTCTCTTTAATGGATAACAATTTAAGCCACTCCAACTTCTGAATCTTGGAACAAATTGCGTCTTCGATCCCAAGCTGTGCAAAGAGTATCTAGTTGAGACATGCCACTTCTAACATAAAGCCAAAGAAGTTAGGTCTTAAATTGCTCGGGGCATTGTCCACATGAAAATGAGTAAGATGCTCCATGCCACTTCTAACATTGACTTGACTTTCTTGATAAATTTCCCTTGGTAGATGGGGAGAGAGTGATGGTGGATTCAGCTCTTCAACAAATACTTCCTTTGATCCAGATTTGCTTTTATTCTTCCGATGGCCGTGGCGACAATAAGAAGTTCAAGAACTTTCCGTGTTGGAAGAATTCTCTCCACACGCCATTCCCTTGCTTTTGTAAGTTATCCTTAAAAAAAAAGTAGTACAAAATGCACAAACCAGCAATCCGAACATCACATACCATAAAAAGAACTCCCAAAGAACTCTTATAAATTCTCTAAGCTCCCCCACACTTGAGTGAAATTAAATCTTGGGAAAAGGGAGGACCTAGAGGGAGATATAGTTCAATGAAAAGGAACAATCCTAGAGTCTCCTTAACCAACTCAAATCAAGTAAACAAGGGTCAACAAGTGCGATAAAGTGATGCTCAATGAATAGGATTGAAGAAAATGAAAACCATGTGGTTGGGGAATTTCTTTGAACACTTGGTAGCCGGTCTATGAAAGCTTAAAACATGCATGTAAATATCACAACAAGCTAGGTCTCCCAAAATGGATAGCAATACCATTAAAGCAAAGATAACAATCCTATGGCATCAAAAAGTCATGTCAAAGTTTACACCAGCTGTAAAAGTATACCTTATCTTGCTAGAGGACATATTGGACATCCAAAAATGATTGATAATACTTATCAAAAGATGTTGGAAAAAGAAGTAGAGCAAGTATGCTCAACAAGCTAATGGGCTGTTTACTTGCAATTCCGTTTCTTATAGCTGCCGCAACAGAAAACAAAATAAAATGAAAATGAAGCTCTCATTTCCTGATAAACAAAACCTAAAGAAAACTTGTTTAGCTGTGAATTTTGGTAAGTTTTGAAACTGATTTATGAAAATGAAAACATGTTTAATTACTTCATACTATTTTCTGATACTTAACTATCAAAGTTTTGTCATTGAGTATCATACAATCCTAACCACGATTAAACCCAAACCATGATTATAATTTTTAATTCAAAAACTTTCTCACCATCAAACACATTCATTCACTTCAACATATTTTTTCTTGCCAAGCCTCAAGCTCTTGTCTGATCAAGCAATAAGCTTTTGATTAAAGCCAAGAGTAAATCAGTTCTCAAACTTCTTTCATGAGCCTCATCAATGACAATCCAAGAAATCCCAGGCAAATTCTTGTCATTCATAAAGTGCTGCAGCAAGCAATGGTCTGTTGCATTAATAATTTTTTAACCAAATTGTTGGTTGGAGGAAAAGGTTGGATAAGCAATAATAGTGTTATTATTGTCTTTATAGCTGCCATGATATTCACCTTTCACCCTGTCAGCAATTGAGATGGTTGCAATCTTTCTCGGTTGTGTACATATAACAGTTTGACTTGATCCTATACTGAGTGTTCTTTCCCGATTTTCGTTTTTTAAACAGAAAACAGAAAACGAAATGGGAAGTGCACAGGGCATAAGAAAGGGTTGAGAAACATGGCATTGAGATCTAAAAGATGTGATGGAGAGACTACACATGGTTTCAATGTGCAGGTCTCCCTTAAATACGCACGAACAAGATCGCGAGCAGTAGTCAAAAGGTCGTGCTAACTCTGATCTCTGACGTTCTAACAGCGAACTTTGCCCTGAACACAAAGACAATGATTTCACCAAACCTTAAGCTTAATCATTCATCTAAATCAATCAAACATCTAGAGAACGAGGCAAGGCAAGGACTAAATCCTATCAATCATTGTCTACGCAATTCTAATCTACTACTTAATCAATTATTCAAAAAGAAAAAGGAAGAGATACGCAAAACGAATCATTGGGTTGCCTCCCAACTATTGTGTCTTTTAAAGTCTTCTCAACGGACTTGACGCCTTGAGATCAAGATGTAAGAGCTCCATCCTCCATTGATTATTCTTCATAGAAATCATACTTGTGGTGAAGTTCCAAATGAAGACCATGGAGTCTCATCTGGTGCTTGAGATTCAAAAGCCATATCCAAAGAACAATGCTCATGATCAAAGAAACTAGACCCCCTTACGCAAGTGTCCTCATCCATGAATGGCTTGTAGCATTCCCTAGATTATTCGTATTCGAGAATGGGAGCTAGCTTGCTCACATTGTGTTTCTTCGTCTTGTCTCAAACTCTTCCCTTGGGGTATCTCTTTTCAAATATGAACCTTATGAGTTTCCTTCTATTTTCCTTGGCTTGTTGAGAGACTCCGAACAACTCTTTAAAGGTCCTTTTAAAAGGAAACTTTTCTTTCCCCGATCTCTTCTTAAGCTTCCAAGAATCATCCATACCTTCAACTCTTCTACCATGATAATCAACATCAAAGACCATATTGAACCATTCTATCTCGGGGCTTATAGGTGGTGTGGAAGGAGGTGTGACTGACTCACAATCCATCTTCACATCTTCCCATTTGTAGTACTTGTGAAAATTAGGGATTAGAGTCATCTTGTTGCTTATCTCCTCCTCTCCAAACCTTAAGGTGATCTTTCTTTCACACACATCAATAATGGTCCTTACCGTAACTAAGAATGGTCGGCCTAGGATTATCGATGCATCACATCCTTCCATGTCGAGAACCACGAAGTCCACAAGATAAACCAAATAACCACATTTCACTAAGATATTATCCATGACTCCCCTTTGCTCAACAACGCACCTATTGGGCAACTCAATCCACATTTTAATAGGCATGAGTGGTCCAAGGTCTAACTTATTGTATATTCTTGTAGGCATAATGTTGATACTAGACTCCAAATCTTCTAGTGGATTCCAAAAGGTTTGGACTCCAAAGGAGCATGGAATAGTGAAGATTCTAGGATCTCTTAGCTTTGGAGGGAAATCTTCACCCACGAAGGAAGTTAAAGCAATTTCAATTATGGAGAACATAGAAACTTCTTCCATCTTCCCCTTTCCCGACGATATCTCTCTCAAGAATTTAGTATGTTTGGGAATTTTTATAACCATGTCTAAGAATGGAACAGTTACCTTCAATTTCTTCAAGGTATCTTTCCAAGGAGCACATTCATGATGTAGAACACTTTCGAATAACCTTCTACGATAAGGAGCCTTTGGTGTTGAATTGGGTAGTTGGGTCCTTTTAGACTTCTCTTCCTCTTCAATCTTGATTTCGAAAGGAGGTTGCACTTCCTCCCAAACTACCTCTTCTTCTTGCACAACTTATCTCTGAACCTCTCTTACCAATATCCTCGAGGTTAGGATAAGAACCTCCATTAGAGGTTGGCCACTCCTTAGAGTTACCGCGTGACATCCCTCTTTAGGATTAGGTTCGGTATTACTCGATAAGGTTCCTTGTGGTCTTGACGATAGCGTTTGTGTCAATGAGCTTAGTTGGGTTTCAAGATTTTGATGCAAATCTTGTTGATTCTTTTGAACCGCTTCCAAACTTGAGAAATTGGCCATAGTACTCCCCATGAATTTTTCAATAGCATCAAACTTCTTGTTGGTGTTTGTAAGGAATTGACCTAATAAGTCTTCAAGTTTAGAGGCTCGACCATCGGAGGATCGACCTTAATCTTGATAAGCTACTTGGTATGAAGGTGGGTTCGACCTTGATTTAGCATATGAGCTTGATATTGAAACCCCAGAAGCTTTCTATCAGTCGGAGAAGACCAAAGAAAGTTGGGATGGTTCCTCCAACTCGGATTAGATGTACAGTCGTATGGGTTGTTCCCTCGTGATTGCCCTCCAACAAAGTTGACTTGCTCAAACTTTAGCGAGACCTCAATCATAGACTTACACTCCTCCATAGTGTGACTCCACTTACCACACCAATTAGGGGTGGAAGTTTGGTTTGCTGGTTGCGGGTAACCCGCAAACCGCACACTTTTTGGATACCCATACCCACAATTTGGGGATAGTGGGTTGGGTGTGGGTAGTAAAATATTGATTTTAGTGGTCAACCACTACCCACAGCGGTTTACCCACAAAATCAGCATTAACCACATTAGTTATATTTATTTCTTCAAAATACTTTGTAACTCTTATTAACCACATTAGTTATATTACTTTGTGAAACTTGGAAGACTAATAATTAAAGTAGCTACCAAAATCAAATACACACTTATTCTATAAAACAAAACCAAGTCAATGCGCAATGTTCATGTGAGATACTTTTATCAAATAAGCATTATCCGTGTTATTTATGTTTATTTTATAACAAAATCAAGTCCATAGATATAGTCAGATAAATTAATCGATTTGTTAAAAGAGGGGAATAATCGATAAAGATTAGTCTGATACCCAAACTCATCTCCATTTCTCCACGAACTCACGAACAACACAACATGCAACCAACTACCAACAATACAATACTATAATCGAGAGTGGAGAATAATAGATTCATTAAAAGAGGACGCCTCCACTTATCAAGCTTCTTTGTGTTTTGTTGTTGTTGCCATCGGAGGAGCCGGGACATGCAACGATGTTTGTCTGGTAACTAGTCACTCCGCCTCTTCGTTATCTTCAAACCTCTTTCCAAATCCATCTCTTCTGAATTTACACTAGCTAATCTATTGTATTCGAGATTTATAATTTATTTAACACTTTATTAACTTTTTAAATGTATGTTTTTGTTTTTGCTTGAGAAGAAACACAACATCACTATATAATTACCATATTATTATATTTAATTTAAAATTTTTGTGGGTATCCACAACCAACCCGGCGAGTTGTGGGTAGCATAATTCTATATTTGTGGGTGTGGTTACCCGCAAAACGTGGGGCGGGTAACCACACCCACCTCAATTTCCACCCCTAACACCAATCACATTTCATAGATGACGCAATTTTATCAATTTTCTTGGAGAGTTCTTGTATATGAGGCGCTAGCAAAGATGGTTCTTCAATCTATAATAAACTTCCCTTCTTCAAATTCTTACCTCTTCTTCTGCCACCCCAATCGTAGCTATTTAGGACCATCTCTTCAATTAGTCTTTGAAGTTCACCAACTTCCTTATTTCAGATGGCACCTCCATTAGCCGCATCGATGTGGTTATGTGACTCCCTTGTCAAACAGTTATAAAAACTTTCCACTTGCAACCAATCAGCGATGCGGTGGTGTGGACATTTGAGTAGAAGTGATGTAAAACTTTCCCATGTTTCAAACAATGGCACATTTTCATCTTGACGGAATATAGTAATCTCGCTTCTTCTGAATGTGGTCTCTCCCCTTGGAAAAGATCAAGAACTCCTTCTGCTTCACTTTCATCATCATGCACAAATTCTTTCCTCGCCCTCTCTCGCTCTTCTTCTTCCAGCACAGATCGGAGAGCAAGTCGCCATGCAAGGCTCTTAATAAGATTAGCTTGCATCTCCTCGCTCATGCGCGTCTCTTCAAAACTCGAGGTGTAATGAAGAAAAGTGTGGTCGCCTCTAACAGGATATTCCTGATCATGATCATCACGGGAGCTCTCCGTGACAACTTCTGTCTGCTCCACAATGTCCTTGTAGCCTCCTTCATCCTCCTCCTCTTCTTGTATGGTAGCATGAAGGCAATCTTGAGCAATCTGTGCACAAACTTGCTCAACCCATTTTGTTTGCTTCGCTGAGCGCTGAACAGCCTCCACCATTTCACGGAGAAAGGAAGGGTCAGGAGGGCAATGGCTTGGATTTAGAAGTCATTGTTGGAGCATGATATTTTCATGTCTTAAGAAACCTGCTCCATGAGAAGCTTCAATTGACTGTTCGGCTCCAGCCTTGGACTGTAGCATGGCTCTGCAGAATTGCATGTGAAGGCTGCCATAGCTAACTCCAACTCTAATGGTCCCTCTGGTTGTGGGAATAGTTCTTCTTAATAAAAGATTATTCTTGAAATGCCTAGGGGTCTAATTGTGCATCCTAGTAGGGGATTGGTACTAAAACCCGAATCCATAGTCTTCTCCTCCTGAAACGAAGAACAAAACAATAGTGCTTTAAGATCGTGGCCTCCCTGCTCTAGATCACACCATTGAACTTCCCCAACATAGCCGTGAACTTTTTCGAGACCTGAAACTCTATAAATAGGAGATGTTTTCCCCTCATTGGAGAGAGCAGATTTTGGTTGAAATTTCTAGTTCTCTGAGAAAGAGAGTAGAGAGATAAGCTGAAGGAAGGAGAAGAAGAGAAGGAGGAGAAGAAGGAGGAGCAATCTCCCCCATCAAGTCTTCTTCATTTTCTGCAATGTTTCTTCTTCCCTCCTTTATGGAGTAGTCCTCTAAGGTACTAGGGGTTAAAACCCCCAACTCTAGATTAGGTTTATGATGTAGATGTATGAATTATGTTAAGGTTTATGAATGGATATGTTTGTCTAGTGATTTTATTCCTTCATTTATACTTGATTATACTTGGGTAAGTCGCCTACTCTTCCCTATTAGTCTGCAACTAAGCCATCGCTAGGCCAGAATTTTAGGGTTAGATTGGGTAGCGCCAACTGGCAGGTTATGGTAGATGAATGATTTTAGGTTCTTATAGTGGAGGAAGCGATCGTACCCCTGCTAGAAGAATGCATTCCGAAATGTTGGTCAAGAGGTTCGCAAGCACACAGATCCGACTCTTTAGTGTGCACGTTAGGTAGAACGTATTGAAATTAGCTATAATATCCTAGATACGTGAGCCTCACTGAGGTGACAATGAGTCTTGGGGGGACATACTCGAAGGCATGGGATAACGACGAAGGCCCACAAGATTAGAGAGCTCACACACCATATCAATAACAACATAGTTAATGAGTTGCATGTTAGACCTAAGATAGGGCAAGAGAGTTACCTCGAAGTACCTGCTTTTATCTCTGTATCTACCTCAACCAGTAATTCAATCAAAACCTCCAAAACAAACCTAAAATTGATGGGTTATATAACAATGGAGAGGGAAGTAAGCTAAGATACCGAAACTTGTGGAATACGACCTTTGTCACCACTATATAGCAACGTCATCTCGAATTAAATTTGGCTCGGGATGGGGTAGTTATTTAGACCATGCAAACAACTGACAATGAGCTGCATGGGACGTATGAGAAGTTGTAAATGATAAGAGCATTTCCTCTTTTCTGGCCTTTTATAGAAGCCTTTGAGTCTCCAAGAAGGCCCTTCTTCTTGGTAGATTATTTCAACATCGATATGTGTTTATCCATAAAAAAATCAGTTCGTACCACATCGATTAACTACAAGAGATTTAATGGATTTATAAGGCCAGGTCCACATTAATAATTAAAAGAGTTAGCTGGGCCTTGTTGGGTCATTGGGCCTAGGTGGCCAAACTCCTTCTCTCATATACGATGGCCGATCGTCTCCTTGGCCCCCATAGCCAGACGATGCCTCCACCCCTTGGTATAAAATTTGGCTCTCAAAAAACTAAGTCTGGAAACAAGGCGGCACAACGGGGTGCCAAAAGATCGGGTACCAAGCCGGGTACCAAATAGGCGGCCATCGAAAAACTAAGTCGGGAGACAAGGCGGCACAACGGGGTGCCAAATGATTGGGTACCAAACAGGTTACCAAGCCAACAAGGCATGACTCAGTACCATGACATGGAATTTGGCCAAGTATGGAGCCAAAGGGGCACAACAGGGTGCCAAACGACCAGGTACCAAGTCGGGTACCAAATAGGGGGAGATCCAAAAACTAAGTCTGGAAACAAGGCGACACAACGGGGTGCCAAACGACTGGGTACCAAGCCGGCAAGGCAAGGCTTGGTACTATGACGTGAAATTGGGTTAAGTATGTAATCCCATTACAACAAGGGGCCATACGATAGGGTGTCATACCACCCATAACAACAGGGGGCCAAACGAGAGGGTACCAAGCCGGCAAGGCAGAGCTTGGTACCAAGACATGAAAAACATGAATTTGGCCAAGTTTGGAGCTGAGGGGGTACCAGGCCGGCGAGGAAACCTCGGTACCAAGACCCCTAGAGGGTAGCAAGCCGACAAGATGGACTTGATATCAGGTTACCAAACCTCTCGAAAAAATAAGTATGGAGATCAAAGGGTGCCAAGCTCGACGAGGAGGTGAGAAGGTGGCCATCTGAGGTGACTACCAAGCTAGGTACCAAGTCATCATGAACATGATGTAGAGTCCCTTAGGGGGGCTATATGGAGATTAAGTCCCAAGATGGGCTTGCTAGCCCCCCTAATGGGGGTACCAAGCCGGTAGGGTGCCAGGTACCAACTTGATAAGATTGCAGAAGCTAAGTATGGGGTACCAAGCCGGTAGGGTGCCAGGTACCAACTTGATAAGATTGCAGAAGCTAAGTATGGGGTACCAAGCCGGCAGGGCTGGCTTGGTAGCAAGGGTATCAAGCCGACAAGATTGGCTTGATACTAAGATGATAAGTTGGTGCCATGACAGTGTCTCTAAGACTAAGTGTGGAGACTTGGGGGATAAAGGGGCCAAGTTCTCATCCTGTCTAGGTGGGTATATGGCCTAGCTATCAAGTCGGTTCATCAAGGTGGCTAGCAAGATGAGGAGTGTGGAGTCGTCAGGACTGTCGAGGATGTGATCAACACTTCATCATGGAGGCTAATGTAAAGAGGCTAAACCCTATCCAGTCATGACACGGTGACAAGGCTCAACACCAACCCGACCTGGCATCGAGACCATCAAATACTCACCAGCCCCAAGACAAGACAAGGGCCCCCAAGGCGACGGTTACCAACTAGTTAACGAGGCGGCGACAAGGGCCCCGAGGTGGTTTGGAGCTAGAGGCCAACTAGCAGTTACCAAGGTGGTTACAAGGGCAGTTACACCTAGTGGCTATAAATAGTTTAAACGAAGAAGAAGCAGGGGTTCCACAACCAACCATTTGACACACGATGTCAAAAATTTATCTTTTCTCTGCAATTTAGTCGTACCCTTTAGTTTTTCGGACATCTCACTGAATCTCCATAGGAGTAGGAGTAATTAACATAGCTTGTTACCAAAAAACCATCAAAAACATCAAATAACCTCGTTCGAACATTGTTCGAAGAGGAGTGGACCGTGTTGATTTTCGTTGTTGAAGAAGTCAAAGATCCAAATCATTAAATTAAAACACCAAATTTTCCTCGCCGGAAAACAATATGATAATAAGATGCAGATATCCTTTTCACCTGAATATCAAGCTGCTCCTTAACAAGCTGTTGAGATTAATCATTGATTTTGGATCTCAACGAACCCTACAGTTATACCTCATGAATTTCATGTTTTAGTACGGGACACAGACCCAACAGATGTACATAATGGTATAGATACAACAGAATCGAAAAGAGGTAGACTGTAGTGTTGTGAAAGACAATCCAGGGGAACAGACAACCAGATGGAGAGATGTTGCGCTGAAAGAAGAAACAATGCTAGTTCTTAACAGAAAGCGGTTATATATCAAGCTTCCACTGTGCAGGAAGAACAAAATCACTTCAGTCTATAGCAGGAAGAGACTCTCACCTCTGTGCACACGGATGCAATCGCTTCACCAGATAACTGAAAAAACACACAAAACACCTCCAGGATCTACCGGAACAAATATAACGTCCTGCCTTTCAGGTCGGAAATCTTCGGCAGTCTTTCAATGGGCGGGAAAGAGAAAAATAAAAAATTTCCATGCGGGAAGAAGCTCCCAGAGAGTAGAGAGAGAAAGCACTATAGCTCCCAAAAAGGTGAGAAAACTGGCGAATGGTGCAGAAGTAGTTTCTTAGGTTATTCATCAATAACTAGCAAAATTGCAAACAATATAAAAAGATATTGCATGATGCCATCAGAAGTTGACAATGTTGGCCCAAGTAGAATGCGAGTAGTGAGCTGATTGAGGAAACCATTAACTTAGACTGATTGATATTGTTGTTGCTTTTGGAATGGTAGATGCAGAAGGTTTTTGACCATATAGAATCATTTTGCCCTCTAAAGCACTACCCAAATGGATTATCTTTAAGTTCTATGAAGATGAAACGCTGAACTAAAATCCCCGTTGCAATCCTAACATGTTTATGGTACAAAATGAAGTTATTTGGTGTCTCGAAGCTTAACTCGAACTCGATTCCAGCAAGGTAGAGTACCAATCGAGCCTGTACTAAATTAGAGTACCGATCGAGCCCTGGCAGATACAGTGGTGCCCGGAAGAATGAAAGAAGAAGAACTCAACTGCCAAATGATTCCTGATTAAATTCAGCTTGGTTTCACGAACACTACGCCATACCATACAATCATTGCTGTATATTACTGAAGTTTTTGTCTGGTAGATAGATACAATTCAATACAATACCAATACCATACAATACAATACTAGCTCGTACATCTCCCACTCTTTTTCGAATTACAATTTTTCTAGCAATTCCAACTCACTCCAAGTGCTCCTGTGTATATAGTCCATATAACCGAAAAAGAAAATAAGATTCTCTCAAGCGACGGGGCCAACTCCCCTTCCATGCTCCATGACTATGCTCCTCTGCATTAGCCCACATCACACTAAATCAGAGACTGAAAGCCAATGTTTTCCCTCTTCCACACGTTCGTTCGTCAACTTCTGTTAGGCAGTACAACTCTTCTTGACAGAATCAACATTGATTCACGAAAAGTGAAGACTGACAACTCAACCAGTGTACTGGCTCTCATTTTCACCAAGATCCTCCTCGTCTGCCAAACCGCTTCTGTCACTGCTCTACCAAGGATCGTCTGGCAAACTGCTTCTGTGTGTGCTCTCCCGAGGATCGTCTGGCAAACTGCTACTGGGTGTGCTCTCCTGAGGATCCTCCGCCAAACTGCTTATGCCAGTGCTTTCCTGAGGATCATCGGAAAGAGATGCAGGAGGGACACTGCCAGATTCACTCTCCCAATCAAAATCATTGGTGGCATTAGTTGCTACACCACCCAACTGTCGGAACACATGTGCCTCCATCATCATCATAATGCTCCTGGGGAGCGGGCCCACAAGCTCAAACCTGTGTTCTGGAGTGTGCTGCTGATTAAACCGCCCCGGAAGCTTGGACCTAGAGTTGTAGCACTCTCCGCACAGGTCAAACCCTATAGCCTCCACGCAGTCGATGCACCTGTGTCTCTCCCCGATAATTGGACACATCTGTCAAATAGAACATGGTGTTGCTTACTAGACAGCAAAGGGAAGCAAGGAAAACACTGACATGGATTTTGAATGTGACACGGTCCTTTGAGACTACAAACATTACTTGGCTAGTTGATATTTGTATGATAACTCTTTTTTTCTGATACGGCCATGCAAAGCAGATCATAACACCCGACATTTATGCAATCAATTTTGTCAAGTGTTTTGCATCATCCAGAACATGTAATCACAGAAGAGAATAAATGCCAAGGATGATGCAGATTCGAGGAAACCAAGTACGAGAAATTACCCCACAAGCATCACAGCCAATTCCTCTGTGAACCTTCATTTGGGGGTCAGCCCAAGAAAGTAAACGCTCTTGTAATGGAGGCAAGTCCTTTTTACTGCTTTCCATGGAACCTGAAACATGAGTTGGATTAAGCTCAACATTAAGTCCTACCAGATTAGTCATCTAATTTACTTTGCTAGGGCCTTTGGGGGAAAATTATATGCCAATACCTACAACTCACCTGCGGTTGCATTCTGAAGCTTGGCATGAGCATGTTGAGCAGCTTCTCTTCTGGATTGGTACTCCTCGGGAAATTGTTCTGCTAGGAAATTATCAAACTCTAGACAAACTTTCAAAGCGCCTCTAGGTTGCAGACTTCCACATTCCTGACATTTGACTGCCTCATCTACTAGTTGGACGATGCAACTTCCACAGAATGCTGGAACAATTTTAAGAGGAGTCAAACCGCCGATCAAAATTCACAAACCATTGCATACTGATGGATTGAAAAGTAAATTAAGTGGAGGTCACTACCATGGCCACAATTAAGAACCACTGGAAGGACGAGCAGCTGTTTGCAAGCCAAACATTGTACGTCATCAGTTGAAATGGGCTTCCAGTTCCCCATAGGCTTATTCTGGTGCAAACCATGTTCTTCGATTGCTTCACTATGGTTTCCTCCGCAACTCTCATCAGGATTCCTCTCTCCAAGAGAAGTAACAACAGTCATGGAAGAGGGTCCCAGTTGTGTGGTACTACTTGTAAGTGACTCCTCATTCGAGCCAGCACTAGAATCGCCAATAGAGGTTGAGGGATATGTGAGACCCTTTGTTCCGTCACAGCATTTATCAGCATTCATTAGTATGGCCAAATTGCTATCCAACTGAGGGGAGAAGCATCTTCTTTCCTTTTCTTCCTCTGGAACACACAAACACCGTCATCAATGACATAACTTCATTAATCATACTAATCGGAACTACTGATCATCTTTGCTAACAGAAGAAAGGATGCTACGTATCAAAACCTCAGCAAGTTCAAACGCCTTTTTCTTTTTGTTCTTTCTTTTGAAGAATTGAAGCAAGAGAGATTACCTACCAAGAATCTGCCCTTGCCTTCTCATGTAGGCAATGGGGTACAACTTCATCAGCAAGAAATGGAGAGCCAGACAGATGGCAGGGAAGTGATGGTAAGAGTTCCTACAAATTGGACAATGGGACTCGCTGCGGAAGCTCATCGAAAGATGAACACACCAGAAACAGGCCATGTGACCACAAGCTGCAAGACAAGGAATGCACCAAATGTTCAACCCAAAAGAAAAGGGAAAAGAAAAAGAGACAGGGCTTTGTAATACAGATAGTACAAAAATATTTAACTACCAGAACTTACCAAGTACAACCGGCTTGTACAGAAGATCCCTGAGAAGAAGAACGCCAAAACACCAGGCAAGATTAACATTCTTCAAAATAATTAAAAAAAAAAACGGATGCGGTTCTCCAATGGCAAAAGACTAGTGGAACTTACAAGCAAATGCAACAATTGAAGGAATCTGGAATCTCTTCCTCTGATTCCGGACCTGGGGCTGGTGCCGCCGCGGAGGCGACAACTAGCGGCGTCGCCATTACCGGGAGATGAGGAACACAACAGATCTGCGTTTGAGCGCTCCGCCGCAGACTTTAGACGTAGCTAGCTTCGAGAAAACCGTCGTCCGGAAGAGAAGAGAATAAGAGTAGAAGATGATGATTGTAAGAAAGTCATTAGCCCCAAATCAATGGTTGTCAATTAGTCATGCGGGTGGCATGCCTGTCAATATAATGGGGTTCAACCGATACTAGGGGTGGACTAGGGGTGATAATCGGTTGTCGGTTATACGGCGTCGGTTATACTAGGGGTGGACTAGGGGTGATAACCGCCGAACCGAAAACCAATAATAGTCTGGCGGTATTGGCGTCGGTTGGCAGATTTGGGTTATAATTCTAACCGAAAACCGCGAGTGAAGTAACCGAGATAAACTCGGTTCACCGAAAAACCGACTTCTCACCCCCTTTAGTCTCCCACTGCAAGTTTGCAACCCCCACTCTCTTCCTCTTCCTCTTACAAGACAACAAGATTTTCCCTCTCCTCTCGCCAGTCTCTCCCTTCTTCTCCGTTCCCTTCTCCTCCCTCCTCCATCGCTAACCCGTATCGAAAAACAATAAGGCGTCTTTGTCTCTCCCTCTCCCCTAGCCGCTCTCCACCTCTCCCCCTTTCTTCCTTTCCCTGTATCCTCCAGATCCAAGGTCACAAAGCGGCGATTTGGTTCTCCTCCGCCGATAAGAAAGCGGCGATAGTCGAGATTCAGCGAACAAAGGCCAAGAAGGAGAAGAGGGTCGTTGTTGGCTTGCTCTAGTGAAGATCGATCGTCCATCGCTATCTCCGTCCCCTGCTTCCTCGTTGTCCATCGTCGTCGCCGTTACTTGATAGAAGAAAAGAAGACATGCAAGGGGTGATTGTCACCCCCTACTTATGTCGATTTGGCCTCTTGGATCCTCGCCGGTTCTAATTGCCATCTCACCCCCAATTCCATCCAGAAATTTGGCGATTTGGCGGCGAGATTCGACAGTCGGATCCAGAAATTTGGCCAGATCCACCCCCTGCGTCGGTCTTCAGCTAACCGCGACACCGACCCGAAACAGTGACGGCGGTTTTCGGCTAACCGACGAGGCAATCGGTGTCGGTGGCGGTTGGGGTTTTTGGATGATTGTCGGCTGCGGTTAACCGCATTGGCGGTTCGGTTAAAACCAAAACCGCATCGCTAACAGCACTAGGGTGGACATCTGGCTCTGTAAACTCAAATCGAACTGAGACTAGGCCAAACCAAACCCAAACTACTGTTATTTGGTTTTGAATTCGGAAACAAAATATTAGCTCAGTTTGGCCCTGCTGTAGCTTTTGCAGAAGCAGCTTCTGGCTTGAGCTTGTAGAGAAGTATTTTTCAAAAAAAGCAGTTGAGTGTTTGGCTGAAAAACTATTAAAAGTGTTTTTTGATATGAGAGGTTATGTAAAATGACTATAAAGGACATATAATATATACTATGAATAATAATTATAAACAATAAAATGTAGTCAAAATGGATCTTGTTAGACTTCTTTTTATATTAAATAATATGATTTTATAATTTATTTTATTTTTAAAATGATATAAATGAAAGAAAATTATATTTTCTGAAATAATCTTGTATTTTCAAAACAACTTTTTGTAGAAGCTCCAAATCGGAGCTTCTGCTTTTATGTTATACAATAGCGCTTTTCAGCTTTTCAAAAGCCAAACTTTTAAAGGTGTTTGGCCCTGCTTCAACTTTTGAAGCCGAAAACCACTTCTAAAAGCCGAGCCAAACATAGGCATTGATATTTTGGAATCCATGGTAATCCCGCCCGAACCCGCATTTTGAAACCAGAACTAACCCGAACCTACTCTCCCTCTTCGAGCCCAAACCACTCTCGAAGCTCACTCTCTACAACACATCCATCTCCCGAAGCCTATCACCTCCTCAACCCGAAGCGCACCCTCTATCCCCTCTGCTATCCCATTCTCAACAACATCCCGTGGCGAGAAGAAAGAGACACAAAGGAAAATCGCCACTAGCAGCACACCCTTACAACAGTCGCCTGCATCTTGGCTCTCCGACAATCAATGTCACCACTGTCATCGCCGCCTGCACCCACCCCTGCCTCCTCGTCGCAGTCTGCACCGAGCCCCGCCTCTCCCCAGTACACTCACCAATAGCGGGATCGTGGTGACGCCGTACTCGAGGTCGGAGTACGCGAACAGAGTAATCAGAGGTCGAATCGCTCTGGCCTTGGTGATTTTGATTCTCTGCCCCTTCCGCATAATAGATATACCATTCTTCCTTCGTACTCCCTCTGAAAATCGCACCTTTGAGATCTCTACCTCTCCTTTTTCTCTCATTCCTCTGGAAATTGAATTGTTTGGGATACGCTTTTGTTTCGGAGAGAGTTTGTTGGGGAGGGAGAGAGCGCAGAGCATCAGAGAGAGGGGTGAAAGAAGAGAACAGAAGATTGAAGGGAAGTGAGGAAGTGGGGAAGCAGGTGAAGGAAGATTCCTCTAGAAGTTTGGGTTGCTCAAGATCCCAAAACGAACCGGGATATATTTATATTTGGACAAACCGATCTAAAATATATTTCGGTTCGAATTCGGTTGCATCTTTGGCCTATTTGAAGGACCCGATATGCTTCTATTTAGTTTGGTTTTGACAGAAACAAACCGATGCAACCCCTAACCGATATTAGTTACAAAATTGGATGAAATGTCATAGGTATGTGTGACATGATCGATTTTTGGCCATAAAACAATATAACAACCTTTTGATTTTTTTAATTATTAAAGGGCTAATTCCACTAGGAAGCCCAAACTATTTAAAAAGTGTCATTTGTGGCCTAAACTATTCAATATGACAAATCTGGCCCAAACCAGATAGAAGCTGACTACATTTTCTATGATCTACTAATGGTCAACGTCGGTCAACATTAATAAAAAATAGTTTGGGTCAGATTGAAAGTTATTATCTTTGATGCTCTATTCCCTCTCTCTCATTTTTTTTCCTTTTCTCTAAACGTGTTCTTCATCGCGAAGTTTTCTTCACGATGGCTCCTGTCGTAGATGGTATTGTTGTCGATGACGGTCAATCTTGGGCTTCTCTCTTTGGAATTACTCCAGACAATAGGTTGGATTATTACGAACCAGTGTTTGTCATTGACTCTCTTACGATACCGCAAGAAGTTATCGATGACGGTGCAAAGGTATGGGTAAACAGCCTGGTTGGAAAAAATTTAGAGCGTCCAACGCTGATTTCTTCGATTAGATTTTGGGCCAACTGGATATGGGGAAATGAAGGCAAGGTGAAGGTTTCGTGGCTTGGTAATCCACTAGTATTGTTGAAATTTCATGATTATGAAAATTTCCAGTGGGTTTTCTAGGCTAGACCGTGGCATCATAGGGATAATCTCGTGTGCCTTCATAAATGGGAGTCGGGTATAAGACCTCTGGACATTGGCAATTCGGTGATTCCTATTTGGATAAAGCTCTCTGACATTTCTGCGAAGCTTCCCTCAAAGGAGCTCTTTGGGTCGTCCACTGGGTATGTATCTGCAAACCAGGAGGCGTGTAAAAATTGGCTTCGACAAAGTCTATATAGAGTTAAAAGCTTTACAAAAAGGGTCGATAAGCTGAGTATTATGCCAGATGGTGTGCATGAAATGTGGATTGATGTTGAGTATTGCCATCTCGCAATTTTTTGTCCAATGTGGATTGTTGTTGAGTATTATACCAGAAGGCATAGTTGTGAAGACGATTTGAGATGTAAAACCTCTTATGATTGGAGAACTTAAGGAAAAAGTAGATCATCGGGTTCAAGAGCAGGTAGTTACCATTGAGGTTGATGAAGCACATAAGAATATAGGAAAGGAAGTAGAAGTGAAGGTGAACTAATCGACTGTAATGACAGTGGGAGTTGTTGTCATGAATGGAGAAGGGTCTTTGCTAAATATCACCCTTCTTATTACAAATTACCTGGATGATGATGGATTCACAGTAATAGTTAATAGGAAGAAGAAATTCAAGAATAATTTGGTGTCAGTCAATGGTTCGTGCGTTCACGATGTGAGCAGAAACATTGACGTTATTGCAAGATTAACCCAACCTCGAGCTATGGTACCTAAGGGTAGGGGTAGGGAAAACTGAAATGGTAAATGAATGGGCTAAACTGGAATACCAGGGGATTTAATTTTCCTGATAAGCGTTAAGGTGGATATAGTAAGATTGCTAGACACAAGAATATATATATCTAATAGAAATAAAATAATACCAGGTGTTTTTCGTTCTTGGAAATATATAAACAAGTATAATACTTCTGGCCGGGATATGGCCATTCTGGAGGCCATATATTACAGTAACAAATCTTGTAGAAGGGGAGCATTACTTGAAAGTATTGGTAAAAGGGAAGACACAATAACTCTAATGTTTGTTTACAACCCAAATAAGGAGCAAAAAGAGTAGTTTTATACAGGGAGATGCTGGGATGGCAGGAAAGTTTGATGTCGTTGGTACTTGGTAGTTTTAGGCAATTTTAATGCCATTACAGAAGTTAATGACGCTTCAAACTCAAGGGTGATAACTGAGAGTATGCAAGAATTTAAATGCTGGATCAATACTATGCAATTTGTGGATCATACTGATGACTTGATATATACACATGTTTTTATCCACCATTCCTGTACCGTTTGAGTCTCATCTCTCGTGTTTTAGGCCGATTTCACGCTAGGTTTTTCTTGTTTGTGATATTTCAGGTCCTAGTATGTGAAAGAAGGTTTGTGCACGAGTTCGGGGTCGATTGGACGAAGTTGGGGCGTTTGACGAAAAGATGGAAAAGCCACACGAGCACGCCTAAAATCCCACACGGCCGTGTAGCACCAAATTGCACGGGCAAGCCACACTGGCCGTGTAGGGGACCCCTTGTGGCCGTGTGGAAAGTCCAGGGAGCTCACACGGGCACGCTTAAAATCCACACGGCCGTGTGGTTTTGGCCATGTAGCATACCTGAAGCCACTTAAGTGAAACGCGGCGTTTTGCACAATCACACGGGCACGCCTAAAAAGCCACACGACCGTGTGGTCGGGAATTTCTGGGGTTTTTACCCAAATTCGAGCCAAAGGAGAGGGAATCGACTTTTTGGGAGCAAAAACAGAGCCATGGAGAGAGAAAGTGCGAAGAACCCCCTAAGAGTGGTTTTGGAGCTGGGGTTCATCAATCAAGCTTGGAGATCATCATAGGAGTGGAGATCATCATCCCAGAACAGATTCTTCCCATTGTTATGAGTATGACTGCTTTGTATTTTGTTTCCCTCTCTCTCTATGGATTAGAACCTTCTCTCACTTGGGTATGAAGAACCCTAGTTCCATATGTGAGGGATCCTGATTGTAATGACTTGGGATTGTTATACTGTTTGGTGTTAATCGAATGATGCATGATTCATTGAATCAATTGAAGTCTGATCATCTTTTCTTGATTTCTGCTGCAACCTGAGATAGATAGAATCTGATTAGGTTGTTAGAGCTTCATTATTCAGTTGTGGAAGAGTGGTTATACGAGAGTTAATCAATCTACTGCTTTGTACTGGAACCCAATTCCAGTAGTGGAGTTCTGTGCTTATAGCCTCAGTTTTCTATCCCGGTGAAGACTAGTCGTCTGCCGGGTATTTGGACTAAGAGGGCTTGGTCAGCTTAAGAGATTCTAAGCTACTATCAGATCTTCCGCAGTTTAATCAACAGTAAATCAACCCAGGGTAATTACAACTGAGACCTTGAAACACCCTAACCCGGCCGGGTACTACTTTTACTAAAATGCCCTTGATAAATAAAATACTCAAATCTTAAATTTCAACTGGGAAACACTTTTCATAAATAAAATACTGAAAACACACACTTGTAGCTCAGAGCAAAGCCCTAACACGTGGGCAAATTAAACTCAAACTTTAAAATCTCAAACTGAACTCCAAATAATCTCCAGTCTGTACTCATAATCATAAATGTAATTAAATAATAAACTCTGAAGCTGTTGCTACTGAAAACCTTGACTAAGCATCCTCCGTGACGCTTATACTGCTCTCCTCTAGCTGGCTGCCTTAGAACTCGCTGCTCACTAAATGCTCCTCTAGCTCTTCAAACTGGTGAGTGAGATGCGGTCAGTCTACGCCCTTACGTTTGAATACTTTTACTACTTGCGTACTTTACTTAAACACTTAACTTTAACTAGTGGAAGTTGGTTGTACTTCCAATCTTAAAATCTTAACTCTTAAACTTTGAGGGAGTTGAGTTTACTCTCCTCTCTTAAAACTCAAATCTTGACTTAAATACTTGACTGACACGGGGATCCCTCACTAGCTAGTCCGGTTGCCAACTCATACGCATGAGAAGCCATTCAGGCTTTTCTTAAACTTAAACTTAGTTAGGGAAGTCGTAACGATTCATCCCCCTAACATCTTAAACTTATCGTGGTGGCTCTTCACCACGATTCTCAAGAGCATAACTGCTGCTCATCTTAAAAGTCTCAAGAGCATAACTGCTGCTCTGTCTCAAAATGCCTCAAAAGGGAACAGACTGACGCTAGTGACTAAAAACACTTAAAATGACTTCACCTTCTTGAAGGTGAGTTACTTCTTAAAAAGACCTTGTTTCTTAAACTTTAACAATAACTTATACTCATAAAATTTTCAAGGTAAATAATAACCATTCACTTCAAGTCATAACTCAACCAAGGCACATATCATCAACCATAACCAGGCAATCTCAAACATGAATCAAAATACTGCACATATATCACGTAAAGCAATACTCGAAAATACTCGAGGCAATTACTTGAAAATCGTAAGGCATAGAATTTACCCCCTTTACACTCACCTTACTTCTGTCGGAAATGGCTCTGATTTTGCTCCAATGATTTCATACTCGATTCCAGAAATAATAGTACACTTCTTGTTTGAAAGCTTAACAATGGACCAGCTTGCTTCGGCAGGGATGGCAATCACAACATACCAGCTTGCTTAACAATGGACAAGCTTGCTTAAGCTAGCAGCTCTCGTAGAAGGGAGGGCTGCCCATCGCTTCTCAGTAGGGAGGTCGTCCATCAGGTACTGGCGAAGGAGGTGCCCATCCGATCAAGCTGCCTGCTGAAGCACGCAGGTCTTGGAGTAGAGACGAGTGGGGTGTCCATCCGCTGCGATGCCCTTGCACAACCTACCGCGCTGCTGCTTCTCTCCAACAAAATAATGGCGGTGGTAAAAGGTAGGAAAGCGGTGGTGTCCATCCGCTGCGATGCCCTTCCACAACCTACCACGCTGCTGCTTCTTTATGGGCCAACAAAATAATGGCGGTGGTGAAAGGTAGGGTAGCGGCAGTGTCAGGGTAAGGGAAAAGGGTTTTGGAAGCTCGAACTGGGGAAAAAGGGCCGAGCGGTTCCTTCCCCTTAATTTTTTTTATATAAATAATAATAGTAATAGTAGTAGTAGTTGTTGTTGTTATACATGATCCGCGTTTGCAACCCTTCGTACGTAACCGTTAACCCAACCGTTCCCATATTTTGGTCGAACCTGAACCCAAAGTCGGGGTGTTACATTCCCTCCATCCTATAAAAAATTTTGTCCCCGAAATTTTCTTGAATCTCATTCCTCTGTGAACACCATTCTTGTACTTCCTTGCCTCAAAAATTTACTCTCGCTATATGAACCTTGATGATGTCCGTTGCTTGTCCCGCATAGTTTACCTCACCTCAAGTTATTTCCTCTTGACCATAAAAGGGATTCTCGCCAAGCTCGTTAGCATCGGGCAGCTTTGGGTGGCTACTTATCCTTTTTAATTCCCCACTTGGGCATAAGGCGTGACGGGACAACACTTCGAGTCGATTTATTGTTCCAGCCCATCCAGTACTTGCTTTTGAACCTTAGATCGAATTCGGGGTGTCACATTTCCTCCCTCCTTAAGAAAAACTTCGACCTCGAAATTTGATCATTGCTGATAACCTAAAGTCTCACTTGAGGTAATCCTTCTGCTGCAAGGACTTATACTTCCTTTACCTTATACAACCTGGAGCTATAAACCCTTTCCTCCTATTCGTGTGCTTCTTGGCCAACTAATTACTCGCCCACTTTTCATAAATCTTTTGCTCAAGCTAGTTACTTGCTCAATGCGTCTATGGCACTCTCCCTTCTTAAATGCATCTGACGCTGTAATGGCTTCTTAGCTCATATTGTTCTCAACTATTTGTCTTGGGTCTCTTCTTAGGATTCCTTAAGAACTTAAAGGAAATAAATTATTAGCCAGCCCTATTCAAGTCATGACTCGTTGTAACTTCAGCTCATACCAGGCCTAGACCTTGAACTTTGTCCTCCCTATCTTGACTGCTGACAACTCTCCTTGGTATAGAATGTTTGACCTGCTTAATGATTAACTCTGATGCTGATTCCTAGGTATCGCTTCTTCTCCCTTTATAGGCCTCGTTATTCTCCTCTTTGATAATTCCACTTGATACGCACTCTTGATGCCTGATTTACCATATATGGCTCCTTTAGCATGAGAAAATCCCTTCAACATCCCTATTGACGTTCTTAATACCCCTTTCAACCCAAAGGTTACTAATGGCGGCTTAATCTCCATCTTGTCATCGCAAAACTCCTTTAACGTAACCTCATCTATGGTTGACCACATATATCACCTAGGTCCTGGTACCTTATAACTTTGAATCTCTTACTTTCTTCTTTGATGCTTCGTCTTATCCTTTAACCATAAACTGAGCGGTCATCTTCTTGTTACCTCTTGCCTAACTCTGAAACCTCATATCACAGCTTTTACCTCCTGTATGCATTAGAGGCATCCTTTGCATCTTTCTCTAGCTTGCGATCACCTTTATGATTCCTTTCAAGAATCATGGCATTCTCTCTGGCTTACTCGTTCACTCCTGGCGCCTAACTTAGCACTTACTTATCGCTGCCTGAATTTTATGTTCTTGTACTATCCATTCTGCTACTCTCGGACCCTAACTGAAATTCATTGTATGGTTTCCCCATCCAATAAAGTTTTACCTGAGAGATTGACACCTTCCACCAACATAGGCAATCTTGGTTTCACTTTGGGGTATTCTAGCAGGTTTCCTAAACTTATATCCCTCTTACTTCGTTACTCGTGACTCTTCTTCTTGATATTACTCGCTAGTTCTAGATGATGTCCCTTATTCTCGATGTAGTCGTCTAGGTTCTCATATTCTTTTCTCACTTATATACCTTGACCGATAAGGTTTTCCCTTCGACCGTTCTGGACCACCACGCGTCTACTTTAAAGTTGACCATTGAGCTTCTCAGTTCTTGATGGGCTTCCTATGGTCCAACTTATTCTCCACTGGAAATCACCTTAACGCCTCCTTGTTTACCTTCGTATTCTTTCGCCGGCTCTTCCTAACTATCTTTCTCCCTGAATTTGTCGTTTTATCAACTACCACCCTTTTCACCATAACTTTAATTATAGCCTTGTGGTTTCCTCCTTACTTCCACAACTCTTTCATCGATGCTTGGTACTAGCTTTGATCTACTCAGTTGAGTAGCTCCTCGCCATACCTCAAAACCAACATTTCCACTAGAACCTTCTCTAGGTAGACTTGACAGATGACACCCACGACTTCTACTCACGATGGTGCTTGACCACGTCCCAACTATCTTCCTACACGCATTCATTGTCCGGTCAACAACCACCCTTTTTTGTATTTTATTTTATTTCCTATGGCGTCCTATGGTGTTCTCCTTGCTTCTTTACTTTTACTACCCTTCTGCTGATACTTTGTACTATTTTCGGTCACCCAACTCTGTTGAGTATCTTCTCGTTGTTGTTTTGGGTCAAAGCTTCCATTAGTGGCTTGCCCTTGGTAACCTTTAACATAAATCATTCCATGTCTCTTTTGTTGATCGATATTGTACATAAACTTAGTCTCTTAGTTAGGATTCTTAGTGGCTTAACTAAGTGTGCCTGTTTCATCCTTAACTAGTTGTCCACTCTAGAGCCCTCCTACCATGTCGCGCCCACTCAGAGTGGGGCACCTTGGATAAGGTAACTTCTCTTTTTCCTCCTTCTCGATAATGCTTTCCCTCATCGTACCTCTTTGTGCAGCTTCTTGACCTCGAGTCACCTAAGACTTGACCCATTGACTTCTTGAAATCTCGTCAAACCCCCTCTGGCCTTTTTGCTCTTCCTTGGTATTGTTCGCAAACTCTCTTCATTACGACCGTTTAGACTCTTCCTCGAATCCTCAAACTTTCATTAGAACTTCTAATGAGCGTTGTACTTGCTTTTCTATACCCAGTTGATTGGATGATTTACTCCTACGGCTGGTTCCGAGACTCCCGCTCTTGGCCCTCTAGTTCCCACTTTAGACTTTCCCAATGGATTCCTTGAAATTCCACGATTTTCTGTTTCTCCTTGATCATGGTAATTTGCGGGGTTTCTCAACTCCTTCTCATACCTTGTCCTCTAGCTTGCACTTGACAGGTGTATAGCATGCCTGATCTAACCTCAACCTCTACTTCATTTATCTCGTTGCTTGTCTTGTTCCCCTTAAAGGCTTGCTATCAGCCTAACTCCCCAGGGTCATGTACCCTCTTCTCTAGTGAGGTAGTTTATCTATAAGGGTTCCTATATCGTCATATGGAAATGACCATGCCTGCTCTCCTCCTTGACCCTTTTGACTTCTTGACGTCTTTTCATACTCCCTATAACCTACTTATTTCCTCCTTTACTTCATTTATACTACCCTAGCTTTTCTGGAAGTATAAGCTTCCCAATGCTCCTTGTCACAGTGTTGTACTAGCGTTGACCACTAAAACTAGCTGAGGGACTTCTCGTGGTACCTCTTCTTTTCTTGACTTGTTGCCTCCTCGCCACTGCTTAGGACCAAAGACCCTAACATCACCATAGCTACTGACATCTAGTGACTGCAACTCTTTCTTCGGAGATTCACCGTTCTCCTATTTGTTTGCTTTTGCTTATTAGATCCTCTCCTCGCTGCCTAGTAGTAGAATCCTCGTACTACTCCTTCAAATCCTTCAAAATCCTAGAGGTATTCCCTTACGATTGGAACCTCTTCTATTAGAACTTTAGTTATTACCTTAATAAGATTAGAGTAGACTGGAGATTCTATAAACTCTTAAAAGAAGATCCTTGACTCGTTTTCCTTTCCTTTAAAACAAGACCTTTAAAAACTGAGACCGAAATTCCAGTATTCCTTGGAAACCAAGGAACAGAGGAAGACCGGCTCTGATACCAAAATGAAACACCCTAACCCGGCCGGGTACTACTTTTACTAAAATGCCCTTGATAAATAAAATACTCAAATCATAAATTTCAACTGGGAAGCACTTTTCATAAATAAAATACTGAAAACACACACTTGTAGCTCAGAGCAAAGCCCTAACACGTGGGCAAATTAAACTCAAACTTTAAAATCTCAAACTGATCTCCAAATAATCTCAAGTTTGTACTCATAATCATAAATGTAATTAACTAATAAACTCTGAAGCTGTTGCTACCGAAAACCCTGACTAAGCATCCTCTGTGACGCTTATACTGCTCTCCTCTAGCTGGTTGCCTTCGAACTCGCTGCTCACTAAATGCTCCTCTAGCTCTTCAAACTGGATAGTGAGATGGGGTCAGTCTACGCCCTTATGTTTGAATAGTTTTACTACTTGCGTACTTTACTTAAACACTTAACTTTAACTAGTGGAAGTTGGTTGTACTTCCAATCTTAAAATCTTAACTCTTAAACTTTGAGGGAGTTGAGGTTACTCTCCTCACTTAAAACACAAATCTTGACTTAAATACTTGACTGACACGGGGATCCCTCACTAGCTAGTCTGGTTGCCAACTCATACGTATGAGAAGCCATTCAGGCTTTCCTTAAACTTGAACTTAGTTAGGGAAGTCGTAACGATTCATCCCCCTAACATCTTAAACTTATCGTGGTGGCTCTTCACCACGATTCTCAAGAGCATACTGCTGCTCATCTTAAAAGTCTCAAGAGCATAACTGCTGCTTTGTCTCAAAATGTCTCAAAAGGCAACAGACAGACGCTAGTGACTAAAAACACTTAAAAACGACTTCACCTTCTTGAAGGTGAGTTACTTCTTAAAAAGACCTTGTTTCTTAAACTTTAACAAGGTAAATAATAACCATTCACTTCAAGTCATAACTCAAACAAGGCACATATCATCAACCATAACCAGGCAATCTCAAACATGAATCAAAATACTGCACATATATCACGTAAAGCAATACTCGAAAATACTTGAGGCAATTACTTGAAAATCGTAAGGCGTAGAATTTACCCCCTTTACACTCATCTTACTTCTGTCGGAAATGGCTCTGATTTTGCTCCAATGATTTCATACTCGCTTCCAGAAATAATAGTACACTCCTACTTGTTTGATGGTAATCACAACGGACCAGCTTGCTTCGGTTGGGATGGAAATCACAACGGACCAGCTTGCTTAACAATGGACGAGCTTGCTTAAGCTAGCAGCTCTCGGAGTAGGGTGGGTTGCCCATCGCTTCCCCTTGGAAGACACAAAGCTAGCAGCTCTAGGAAAATCCAGCAATGGACGAGAGCTGCTAGTAGGGAGGTCGTCCATCAGGTCCTGCGAAGGAGGTGCCCATCTGCTCAAGTTGCCTGCTTAAGCACGCAGGTCTCGTAGTAGAGACGAGTGGGGTGTTCATCCGTACCGCGCTGCTGCTTCTCTCCAACAAAATAATGGCGGTGCTAAAAGGTAGGAAAGCGGTGGTGTCCTTCCGCTGCGATGCCCTTCCACAACCTACCACGCTGTTGCTTCTCTATGGGCCAACAAAATAATGGCGGTGGTGAAAGGTAGGGTAGCGGCGGTGTCAGGGTAAGGGAAAAAGGGTTTTTATATTATTAATAGTAGTAGTAATAGTAGCTGTTGTTGTTGTTGTTATACATAATTCGCGGTTGCAACCCTTCGTACGTAACCGTTAACCCAACCGTTCTCGTATTTTGGTCGAACTTGAACCCAAAGTCGGGGTGTTACAGACCTAACTAAGTAGGGGTGGGCATCCGGTTCGGTTTTAACTCTCCGAACCGAACCGAAGCAAAACTGACCGAAACCAAAATTCTCACTATTCGGATCGGAAATCGGAAAGGAAATACTCTTAATTCGGAATACAGAGTATGCCAACCGAACCCGAAATTCCGAGTTCCAAACCGATAAACCGAAATTGCATACCCAACTACCACATCCTGCCAGGCCCAACAAATTAAAGAAGCCCACCTGAGGGCCAAGCCCAGCAACCGAGACTCAAATTGAAGGTCGCCTCCTCCAGAATCCAAAGAAAGAAAGACCCAACAATAACAAAACCTAATCCTAATTCCATCTATCTCTCGCTTTGTCTCTCCCTCTCGTCCGCCGCTCACCACAATCACCCACTCACCACCACTGACCGTCTCTCACTCTCTCTCGATCACTCGAAACCTCAAACGGTGTACCCACTACCCAGCTCCTTCTTCATCGCGAAAAACGAACTCTGGTGTGGCATCTCGGCGGCGGCGCAATCGACAAGGAGAGGTGGTGCCGCGACGGGATCGGCAACAGAGACGACAGAATTAGCGGTGGTGGAGCCCCTGCATGCTCTCCCATGGCTCTGTCTTCTCTTTGCCACCGCTTCCTCTTCATCAAAATGGGCGAGCGGCGAACTTAGTGCTCCAGATCTGGGGAGAAGGCGAGCCCGGTGGTGGAGGGAGCTCATTGCGATCTGTGCGGCGGAGTGCTCTAGGCGGCGGAGTGCTTGGTAAGGGTGGATTGATGGCCTGTTGTTTTAGCAGAGAGAGATGGATGGATTGAAGAGGGTGATATGGGAGAGCATGCAGGGGTGATGGATTAATTGATGGAGGAGAGAGTAGAAAGAGATTGAGGTGAGGGATTAAAGTGGGGCTCGTTTGAGATAAGGCAGCAGGTGAGCATTTCGGTTTTGGGCAGGCAAACCGAACCGAACCAAGCTATAATTCGGTTCGGTTGAATCGAACCGAATTATAGCTCGGTTGGGGTGCGGGGTACTTCGGAAATTCGGCATGTCTTGGTTCGGTTCGGTTCAAACCAAACCGACCGAACACCCACCCCTATAACTAAGGAGCTAGGGAGACTCATTCCCGAATGACTCTTCCTTTGCTTCAGAAAACCGAACCATTTCCTGCTTTCTTACTGCTTTTAATTAAAACCAAAATCAATCGACTTAGTTGGCTAGATAATAGATATTCACGGAGTAGGCAGTAGATCTAGATCCCGGGTTGATAATTAGAACTTGCTACTTTACTGCATTCCCAGACTGCGATTACACTTGGTCGTAGTTTGGTGTTGTGTTTTAGAGTGTCAAGTTTTTGGCGCCGTTGCCGGGGACCCTCTAGGTTATTGGGGAAACGTGAAAGTTTGTTACTCTAGCTTTTTCTTTACTGCATTTTCTCTCTTCCACCTGTGTGCCTTCACGGGTTGTTTTTGCTGATTGTGTGCAAGTAGTGCATGACCCGTAGCCAGTCGTGAGATTTACTACCATTAGACCAAGAGCTTGAACGAACCTGTAGGAACTTCAAGCGGGCTCTAAAGGCGCGACTGACTGCGGAGGAGGCCTTAGCACAGCTGCAAATCACCGAGGCGGAAGAGATGGGTGACCCACAGGACCAAGATGTGGTCCTTCCCGAGGACCAAACCATGGGGTACTACTGGACCGCCAGAGCCGCGTACATGAGGTCGCCCATTCAGCACCCTCAAGTCCTAGCCAACAACTTTGAGGTGAGCACCTCGGTCATCACTATGTTGCGCGGCTTGGTAGTATTCCGTAGCAAAGAGGGGGAGTGCCCCCGATCACATCTGAGGCGATTCCACAAGCTCATCGATGGAATCAAGATAAATGGGGTCCCAGCCGATGCCATCCAGCTGAGGTACTTCCCATTCACTTTGGAGGGGTAAGCCAAGGAGTGGCTGGACACCAGGCCCCCTGGATGGATCACCACGTTCGCCAACCTGGCGGATAAGTTCCTCACCTGCTATCATCCTCCGTCAAAAACGGTGGACTTGCAGAAGCAGATCACCCACTTTGCCCAGGATGAAGATGAGACCATCCGGGACGCATGGGAGAGATACACCAGTCTCTTCCTGAGGTGTCCCAATCATGGTTTCAATGATGTTTTCAAGGTGGGCACCTTCTACCACGCCCTCTTCCTAGACAACAAGTAACTGCTTGATTCGGTTTGTGGCGGGAACATGCTGACCAAGTTGCCGCCGCAGTTGAATCAGCTCATTGTGGAGATGGCAGAGAAAGGGTATGATTGGGGCACTGCTAGGAGGTCGAGGCAAGCACCAAACCGAGGTGTACATGTTGTGGGCACCCACTCATCTGATTTGGTGCAGGTGGTATCTAAACTGGTTTCGGCCATCGATCATTTAGGGTTAGTGATCCATTCTTGTTTTACTTACATTTCATACCCCGGTGAGGACCTTTGTTGCCTTTCCATTTGTTCCTCGGACTTAATTCTATGCATGGTTGGTTGTGGTCGATAAGTGGTTTTGTTGAGACTTGCATTTATCCACGAATAGGTTGAGAACTTTTCATTTGCCTGTTTTGGTGGCTTTGAATGTTGTTTGTGGTGGATGTCGGTATTGCTTGCAACGGTTCATGTGTTGATTGTCAATAAACATCGAGAATTCCCATTCGTGCCCTTTGAGTTGTCCCCAAAGTATTTGTGTAGGTTGAAATATCATAGTGTGCATGAAATGGTTTGCTTGGGGACAAGCAAACGTCTAAGTGAGGGGGAGTGATTCGGGCCTAATTGCACATGTTTTGCCCCCGTTTTACTTAGACGTTAGTGCCAAATTCTCTCCTAAAAGGTTGGTGTTACGCTAGGTTCTTCGTGTTTGAGTGTGTTTCAGGATTTAACAGGTGAAACCAGCCTTGGAGTTGAAAGATTGGCGAAAAGGATTGAAAACCGAGAGAAGAGGTGAAAAAGAGCCAGTTCACGGCTAACTGAGGGAGTTCACGATCAAGCAAGACCGTGAAGAAGAGTTGACCGTGAATCGCGAGGCGTCCAGAGCCAAAGTGAAGGTTACTGACGCGATGTGAGTTCACGGTCAGTAGGACTGTGAACAAAGGCAGTTGACCGTGAACAGACGTGAGCGATGCGGCGCGTTTTGGTGCACGCATGGAGTTCACGGCAGTTCATATCTAGAAAGGAGGAGAGAGGGGAGAGAGCCCATTTGGTGGAAAATCCTTCTTCTACATTATAGAGAGGGAAACACGAACCAAGGGGAGAAGAAGGCTAGGGTTTGCTTCAAGGAATATTTTGGGAAGATTTCCTCCAAGGAAAGCTCAACTCGAGGGCCAAGAAGACTGGGAGAATCCTCCAAAGATGGTTTCCATCTCTTTCCCTTTTGTTTTTACAACTTCTAGCATGGAGTAGACCTCCTTTCACTTGGGTGTTGTGAAACCCTAACTCTACCATGTAGTTTTTTTTATGTGTATTGGATGATTGTCATTGGGCATTGTTCAATTCAATGATTGAGGCATTATTTATCATGATTGTGCATGCTTGTGCTTAGAAACTTAGGGGTTGTGCATGTTTGTGCTTAGCACCCTTAGGTTTGTGCATGTAGGTGCTAGCAATCTAATTAGCCTCCTTAGCCTAGCTTAGAGAGGAGAATCCCCCTTGCAAGGGAGACTCAATCGAGTTGGTTTTCCTTCTGCTTTCTAAGCCACCTAAGCTAGGTTAAGTTAGGGAAAACCTTGATATTGAGTTAAGCAAGTCGGTTAATCGCTATCAAGCCGTCTGACCTTAGAGTTGCGTGAGGGAGTAAGTCAATTACCGATTGTCTAAACCGAGAGGGTTGAGTGACACGACCTTTCATTCTTAACTCGATTTATCAATTGAGATTGTGGTCTCCGACCATATATGCATCCCTCTGCGGTTCAAGATTACCGTGCCCAAAGCAATCGTTCCAATTCACATAGCATGGTAGCAGTTAAGGGGGGAGCGACACCCGAGTGATCTTTCCACCAAAGAGTTATCAAAACCATTTACCTTTGCTTTCTTTCATTTCAATTAACAAACCTTTAAACCAAAGTTTTGTATCTAGAAATGATTTCAACAACTAAAGTAGGGGTAGACGGACCGGCCTGGGTCGATATCTAAATACTTGCCTTATACTTCACCCGATTAGAGTTTAAAAACTTGGGCTCTAGTTGGGATTTTATTGTGGTGTAGTTTAGTGCGAGTCATCGGGTCATGATCAATTCCAACTCCCTGGCATATTCTTCTACTGTATGTGATCCTTGACGAATTGCTTGCAGGGATTCATGTAATTCTCGCTAGTAATACGCTGGCACAAACTTCTCACGCACTAATCCCCTCAACAATTCCTCCTAGGTTGTAACTTCAACCTGCATATTTTGTCGTCGTCGAACTTGGAAAGAACAAGAGGATCTTCCTCTCTCTATCCAAGTAAGCAAGGCATTGGTCGTGCCATGAAAGTTTGGAATCAAAAAATTTATCCCACGCAATTTCAATACTGGAGGGTCGTCATCGCGTTCAACTCAGGAAAAATCGAATTGTTGTCGATTGCGTGGTCTCTGATCGATGGGGTTGACTTCCAGCTCCATCATTTGCCGTTCTAGGTCCTGAACTTGGCCTGCCAGAGCTTGATCGACCTCTGGGAACCTGTTTCGTGGCGAATTGTCAAAATTCGCTGGCAGTGGATGCTGAGGTTCGGGGTGAACCTATGCTTCGTTTGGAGCTCCTCGCTGCTAGCTCATCATCGTGACCGTTTGATTCAATTCATCAAATTTGGACGAGAGAGCCTTAACTTCTCATTCTGTTTGGTCAGTTGTGTCAGAAATAGAGCAACAACCTTTTGCTGAAAAACTCCTGCAGTTCGGCCATCGTGATAGGCAGTGGGTCTCCCATGGCGGCTTCCTCACAACCAGTGGCGGTTTGGGTGTTGACTTCGGGGGTCTGGCTCGCACTTTCAGCCGCCTGCTTATTCTTCTTCTTCTTCTTCTTCTTCTTCTTCTTCTTCTTCGATCGATCGATCGATCGATCGAGAGAGAGAGAGAGAGAGAGAGAGAGAGAGAGAGAGAGAGAGAGCTCAACAGGGTTACCAGGAACATGGCCTTTCGACCTTGTCTAGTGGGTTGATTAGTGTCACCTTCCTTCACGAAATTCAAAATACTGGCCACTGTGTTTGAACCTAAGGCTCCGATGCCACTTGATAACGCCCTAGATGGGTGTTAATGATCAGAATCGTGCAGCTTCACCACAAAAAAGGAATCGAAGGTTCTTTGTCAAGAACACAGAAACAGAGTTTCTCAAACAAGCTTTGCAAGCAAGTTTGAATGTCGATGGGATGGAAACAAAGCGTTTGCTCGATCAATAGGCTGGTTTCAGCAAGTTTTGATCGCAACCAAAACCAAAACCAAACTCACAACGCATAAGTTGGGAATTTTGGGGTTTTCTATTCAAATCAACTCTGACTCTTACAATACACGAACTAAGCCTTTTATAGTCATAAATAATCTCAAACAAACTACTACACAACTTGAAATTAACCTAATTAAAAAAGGAAACTAAATTAAAATTGTAATCCGAAGAGGACTAGGAATCCTAATGGGACTCGGATTACTGGCAGTTGGAGGTAGCTTCTTTGAGGGCAACGGATCAGGTCAGTAACCTTATGGTGAGTAACCATGAGTAACTGGCTACATCAGCATGACATCAGCATCCTCTCTCTCTCCTGAAAAGCCTTTAATTTTCCCCTCCTTAATCTTTGACGGACGATTTCTCACTCGTTTTAAGTCAAAATTTAATTTTTTTTGCACAGTTAGATCACATTAATTGTGCTTTTCAAAATGATATCCACTTTGATATATTTTTCGAACAAAAAAAAATTGAGCCATTTTTTACCAGTCTATACCATATGGTATTGACTGGTATTGAAATAAGAGCATACCTATGGTTTGAAAAGCGTACCATGGTGGTATGACACAAACCAAAACTGTAGGATGGTTGAATACATGACAGTATAAGTATATTAATTGTCATTTATGACTTTTAACATTGTATACCATAAGATACCACCCTGTACCAGGGTGGTATTGTATGGTATTGTGTGGTATTTTTTGGTCTTGTAATTTGTTCACCCATAAATTTGTAGATCCAATAGATCATGATGTACTCGTCCCTGCTGTGCAAACGTTTTCAAAAATGAATTAAAAATGAAGAAGATACCATATGGTATGCATTTGGTACCGAGAGGCCAATATTTTTTTTCTCGAAAAATATTGGAAATTGATCTCATTTTGTAGAGCACGATGAGCTCGTTCCATCTGTGCAAAAAAAAAAAAATTAAAATCCGAGTTAAAACGAAAAAGATATGAGTCAATTAAGAAAGCTAGGGAAAATAAAAATGACTTTTAATTCTCCATCCTTAGATCTGGATTTTCTAAATGAAGCGTCCAGATTTGGTTATTGATCTTCAGCCTTCTTTGAGGCCATCGAAAATGGTCCTCCATGTTGAATCAGCATCTGGATGTGTCCCAAACTCCAGATATTAGGCTCCAAAGTCGGCCCTTTGAGCTTGTTATTTGCCTTAGCCAATAATAGACAGATTCTCGGGTTTGACTTGGAAAATTTGGGAGCTTCAATATTGGCCTTCCAATCTTCGTCTTGAAATTCTATGCTATCCATCTTGCTTAGGGATATTCCACATACAAAACAAGCCATCAAACTCGAATTTCCATTCAGCGAATTGAAAGAACCGAGCCTCCAAAGTTGACAACCTGAAACATCAAAAACACTTAGCCAAATTTTATGTTCTTTGTTCCTCAAAGACCTTTCTTCTTGATAAATCCATGGAAGATTCAATGGCAAGCAATTTGGGATCATATCACCTACCCTCTCAAACTATTGTCAACCCCAAAGATCAAAATGTCGGTTGTAATGATATTCGTTTGAGGAGTGGGAAGGTGACCCCGGAGGTTGTTCCTACCAACGGTCAATGATTAAGAAGAGCCTAAGAAGGCATTGCCGATGGCACCATAAGTGGTTGAGTACAAGCCTCCTCTAGCTTTCCACATGAGGATGCACAAGAACAGATTGGAGGCACAATGTGGTGGATTCATGGAGACGCTCAGGGAGCTCTGTATCAGTACCATTCCGTTCTTGGAGGCCATGGTGCACATGCCGAGGTATGGAAAATACCTCAAGGGGCTTCTCGCCAGGAAGCCAAAATATGAAGACCTTGCCAATGCCACCTTCGGCGAGGAGTGCTCCGCCTTCGTACTCAACAAGTTGCCTAAAAGCAACCGGATCCAGGTAGTTTTATTGTAACTCTTTGCATCACAAATCATCATATTGAAAACTCCTTGGAGGATTAGGAGCAAGCATTAATGTGATTCCTTACAAGCTTTTTAGAAAGTTGCATTTGGGTGAATTAAAGCCCACTAGGCTTAGTGTCACATTGGCCGATCACTCTGTCATTAGTCCTAGAGGTATTGTGGAGGGCATCCTAGTGAGAGTTGGCAAATTCTATTATCTGACGGATTTTGTTATCCTTCATATCAGTGATAATCGGATATGCCACTCATACTTGCGTGACCCTTCCTTGCCACCACCAAGGCCTTGATCGATGTTAATGAGGGAACTCTAGGAGAAACTCACTCTTTCAATAGATCCTAATGCTATGAATGATGTTGTGAAGGAAATGAATTCGAGTGATATGATTGGAAGTGGAGGTGAGCCTCTCAAGGCACACCCCGCTAGTGTTTGTGTTCCATTTGATGATGAGGTGTAGGAAACCAAGGCGGGTACTAAGCCCGAAGGAAAGAATAAGAGAGCGTGGAGGGATAAGCTGAATCACGCTTATTCCCGACCAAATGATAAGGGTAAGGCGAAAGTGTCGGGCCAGGAAGGCCACTCTATGGATCTCAAGCTGGGAGGTGACAAACCTCGAGCCGAGACCATGGAGGATCCACTCTCGTGGCTTCATGCTCTCAAGCATGATAGATATGCAACGTCGAGCTAGTGACGTTAAACTAGCACTTGTTGGTAGGCAACCCAACGACGGTTTGTTTTTTTTTTCTTCCTTATTTTCTCCTTTTGTATCTGTGTGAAGAGTTCAAGTATTAGAATGGGTATTATCGTGTCAGTTTTGTGTATTTGCGTGTTGTGGGATGTGTTGTGATTGAATTAGGGGCACATTTTAGTAGGTCGAGTCAAACATTTTGGAAATGCCCTGTTTTCACTCTGTTCACGGTTTTTGTCTTCAGGTCACGGTCTTAGCAATCGTGATAGAAGGCTGGAGACAGTGAATGAGGGCGGATCCAACAGTCTTTGAAACTCACCGTTTCACCCGAGTTCACGGTCTGGGAGTTATGTTCACGGTCTTAGCGACCGCGACAATCGCCTACGTCCGTCAAATGCGGGTTCGACCAATAAAAGGGGCGTGATCCCCTAATCTTCACATCACGCCACCACCTCGCCGTAATCCCCTGTTTTTCGCCGGAAAATCGCAATTTATTTCCATTTTCCGTCGATTTCAACGACTTTTGGCCACCCATTTTAAAACCCAAACACATACCCACAATCCCACCGCCGGGCGCCTCTTCGCCAAAGTTTTGAGCCAATTTGGCTCAACTTTTCCTGGGGAGGGAGATTTCCGGCGAGCCTCTCCGGCCAGTTTTCTGGGATTTTTTGGCACCCTCGCATCCTCCTCACCTTACTCTTCGACCCTATTTGCGTCTCCAGGTCTGTTTCAAGCCTTTATATTGTCATTTTTGGAGAATTGTATTAGAGTTCTTAGGTGAGGAGAATCGATTTGATTTGGCTTGAATGGATGAAATTAGGCGATGGGTTGTCAAATTGGTTAGTTTCAATGATGAATGATGTGCATGTGGACTTGATTGAGCCTTGGTGGGCTCGTTTTTCTTGAATTGTGATAAATTAAGCGAATTGCCCACCAAGTGCAATATGTTTGAATGTTGATTGAATTCACTTTTGTGAATGGTGGTTGGTGCCCATCGAGTCATGGTTTAGGTTTGATGTGTTATTTTGATAAACCTTGAATCGTCTAGAACCATGTCTCGATGTGTTTCATTCGTGGTTGTGCTTAAATTTTTGAAATATGGTCTTGTGTAAAGCCTTCAAAGCCATAGGAACTTAGTGGAATCCTAACTGGGAGGGGGGATCTTTTCTCCCCTTTTGATGTGAGATTGACAGATATTTCCACGTATGGTGTATGTATTGGATATTTTTGCAGGATGGTTGACATAAGCCACCCGTACTTGGTAGAGCTAAAACGGTGGCCGACATCGAAAAGGAAGCGAGGTTCTGGGCACCAGACCCCATTGGAAACTCGATTTCACTTAGTTTGATGGATTACATTGTGGAGATATCATGAGAGAGGCTATGGCACACCCACAATGGAGCCAGCTTCTCCAGATGGAAGATGACATTTACACAGAGATGTGTGTAGAGTTTTTCAGCACTTTCTACATCCTTAGGGAGAGGAACCTGCTGGGGCACCTCACTTGCTCTATTGATTTTCGTTTGGGAGGTGTGCATCGTGCACTGTCTTTTAACCAGTTTGCTGGAGCCATGGGGACCCCATAAGGTCAGGAGCAGAGTTGGTGGCGGATGCCATCGAAATTTCGATGTGCAAGCTTCTTTCAAGAGGTTTTGCCTCCCAGAGATATGCCAAACTCGGTTTGTTCCATCTCGCACTTCGGCATCTACGCTCAAGCCACAATGGCGTGTCATAAGCACACTCCTTGCTCATTCACTTTACCCAAGCTATATTTACACGAACAAGATCACCGAGAGACCCTTGCTCACATTCTCTTCCATGGCAGATCCATCCAGTAACCTTCATCTAGGCTCTATCCTGGCAACCTCTTGCAGCAGGGCTATTAGTGGTAGTCGAAGCTATGTAATGTCACTGGGTCCCTACATCACCCGCCTAGCTCGGCACTTCAATATCAACCTTAAGTGCTGCAAAAAGGAAAGACGCTCCTCGGGGTTTGGGGAGGAAAACTTAAGAGCCATGAAGCTGCTTCGAGTCTTCAGACCATATAGCTATATTGAGGGCCTTTCCCCAGGGGTCCCTCCGCCAAAGAAGCCACCTGCCAGAACTCCAAGTCGCCGCCGGCGCACCGCACCACCACCACCACCACCATCATCATCATCATCATCATCATTATCATCATCATCATCATCATCATCATCATCCGGAGCAGGTCTTTGCTCCTCCAGAGCCCACCTCGAGCAGTGATTCGATCGCCTTGAGGAGCAGTTTGTGGGAGTCACCACTCGGCTCGACCAATATACCAACCTCCTGGAGATGATTTCTCGACACCAGGGCATCCTTTCGGATGATGAGGAGTGACCTTGGATCCACGATGAGGTAGACGACGAGTCAGACATATGGCAGAGCCGATTTCTTTCGCCCCACTTCTCCACTTGAAACTCTGAACTCTGATTATTTTTATTTTTATTGTCTCTTTCCTTAGTGTGTGAACTAGTAATTTGTGAGTTTTTTTCCTTTGCATAGTGATGTGAAACTTAGTTAGGTGTAATAACCTCGCCTTGAGCGAGAATATGCGTGTGTTTTTGTTTTGTCTTCCTTTTGAAGCTCAAACATCCTACCCGGGGAAATTGTTCAATTTTCATTCACCAAGCCATGCGGTAACATCGATCTATCCCCTATTTATGCCATTGAGGGAAATGTCGAGCTTAAGTGGGGGCGGGGTAGTTTATTATTATGCTTGTGTGTGTGATTAAATGCTTGGAGCCTTGATGTACGCCCAAATTTGAAAATTTTAAGGCTCCAAGTAATGCATGATCAAAATAGATGGTTGGTGGGTGAATCTCGTGCTTATTTGGCATTGATCTTGAATTGTTGCATGTGATCGAGTGCATCCTATTACGATGACTGAGAATGCATTAGGTGTGTGGAAAAGTTTGGTTCTCATGTGTGCTTAAATGAATGGATGTCTTGACTTGGTACTCTACAATTGCCTTGCACAGAAGTTCGTGAAATTGGAATAGATGATTGGGTGGCTAGGTAGCCATGTGAGATTTATGCCGATCGTCTTTTTCATGTGTGATAGATCCCTCTCGCCATGGTATGTAACATTCACCGTTGTCACTAGTGAGTATGATGGAGGCATAGGATTAGTCCACGCATAAAAGTTGTTTGTCCGAAATATTTTATCCCTTAGTCAACCCCTTTGAGATGTGTGACATTTAGGGGTCGTTCTAATGTTAGGAGCTTTGTGCTTGTTGAGCTTTATAGTGATTGAGAGAACGACCCTCATCCTTTCTTCGTGTCAAAGTGTGAGTTATCCTTATGTCTCAGATTTCTCGCTTTTGACCTCCATTGAGGTTCTACATAGGTAGTTTTGCACGGTTCTTGCTAGAAATGAAATGGTAGTGTTGGAGGAAAGTTATTTATAGAGAGCATTGTTCGTTAAAGGATATGTGGCATGTGTTTTATTTACTCTCTAGTACCCCCCCCCCCCCCCCAAAAAGAGAAAAAGAAAGAAAGAGCAAAAGAAACGAAAACGAGGTAATAAAATGGGGTAAATAAAAGTAGAGAGTGGCCACAAAAATCTAAGTGTATGCTCAAGGAAGGGTTTCTTGACACTCAAGCCATTCAAACACCTAAATTGTTTGATGACCTCCTTCACTATTATGATGGAAATGTGAATAGCAAGAATAGACTGAAGAAATGTGTTTGAAGGAAGTGTGTGATTGGTAGTGGTTTGGAAGAAGGGAAGTGTGGTTTTTGGCCGATGCTAGTGGCCGTTGATTGTAGGAAAGGTTCTTAGTCGAAACCATATAACCTTCGGTTTTAGGTTGAAGATGTAGGACCTCATGTTATGTTTTCCACCACCCTAAAGGCATTTTCCCCATGTCCAAGACAGTTGCCAGTCCTTTGAACCCATGTCTAAGTCCTCCGAACAAGCTAGTGATGACAACCATCTCGTGAACTGTAGCATTTAAAGGTTGGCACTATGGTGGAGAGACGATAGGGCTGAGTGTTTATGGTTATGCACACCTTTTGCACCAAAAAGGTCCTAATCCCAGTGGTCAAGAGTGAGTGATTCATTCTTGTTTTGCATGTTCATATCTTATCCCGGTGAGGACCTTTGTCGTACTTTCATTTTTTCCTTGGACTTGAGTTCTATGCATGGTTAGTTGTGGTTGATGAGTAGTCCGGTCGACACTTGCATTAATTTTTGAACAAGGTGAGAAATTTTTATTTGCCCATTCTTGATGCATTCGAATGTCGTTAGTGGTGGATGTCGATATTGCTTGTGGCGGTTTATGTGTTAATGCCCAATAGCCATTGAGATTCGCCACTTTGTGCCTTTTGATTTGTCCCCAAGTTATTTTGTTAGGTTGAGATATCACCTTGGTTGAAAATGGTTTGCTTGGGGACAAGCAAACGTCTCTTAAGTGTGGGGGAGTGATTCGGGCTTAATTGTACACTTTTTACCGCTGTTTTCCTTATTAGTTTGAGGAATTTTACTCCGGGAGGTTTGGTTTTACACTGGGTATTGTCTCGTTTTTGTGCATTTCAGTCTATTGCAGGTGGAACCAACCTCCGAGTAGAAAGTTGGACAAAAAGGCGCAAAATCCGGTCAAAGGCTGGAGGCTGTAGTAGATCACGGTGGAAGCACTGAGGGAGACCATGAACTGGAGCCACAAACGTTGAACCGCCAAGCTTCCAGAGACATTTTGGTTCTCAGTGGATTCAAGCCAGTTCACGGTCGTAAGACCATGAACCCAGCCAGAGACCGTGAACAGAATTATTGATGTGGTGCGTTTTGGCCCGAGATCACGGTCCCTTCCTTGAGTTCACGGCCGTGAACTAGGACCGTGATGTGAGCCCTACTTGGGTATAAAAGGGGGTTTGAGCTTAAGGAAAGGAGGAGACCTTCAGTGAGAAAACCTTCTTCTTCAGCATTTTAGAGAGAGAAAGTGACGAGCAAGAAGAGAAGAATCTAGGTTTCATTCCAATGCAAGGATTTGGGAAAATCTTCCCCAAGGAAGATCTCTTCTACACATGGGAATGATTCATATGGTTTTTATTCTTTCTCCTTGTGTATTTCCCTCTTTTAGCATGAAGTAGTTTCCCTTTTCACTTGGGTGTTTGTAAACCCTAACTCCGACCATGTGATTGATCATATGCAATGATTGTCTATGTATGGGTGGGTTTAATATGAATTTGGAGGTATTTTCATGAAAGATTGTGTTGTGTGTTTGCCTATCAATCTATTTGTCATTTTAATCTAGGTAGAGAGAAAGCCCCCTTTTGTTAAAGAGGCTTGTTAAGCTGGGTTTTCTTAAGCAAATCATATCTCTTATCTAGGTTAATGTAGGGCATCCCCTCATTATTTGTGTTGGCACCTAGGTTGTTTGTGTTTTGGCCATCCGAATTCCAATTCGAGAGTGAACGGTTGGTATTCCTTAGTCGATTAGGCCAAGAGAGCTACCTTGGTAGCTTAATTCGGATTCCTTGGCCTAGGGACCGAGGGACCGAGGGATTGATTTTCCATCACTAGCTACACTTCACTTACGGTTCTCAATCACCTCCGCCATACATTTTCAGTCATTCCAGCATGGGACGTGAATGATGGTTGGATTTGCATTGGGGAAGTTGGACGTTGTTTGAATGGATGTTGGTAGGTTAATGGCAACGTGAACTAATGACAATAGCTACGCTAAGGGAAATTGTTCACAAGGGATTGGTTGGTGGATACAAAGACAATAGCTACGCTAAGGGCAATTGGCGGAGAAAATCGGCGGACCGAAAATTACATTCCACAAAGGAGATGGAAGCCAACGGTGCGACACATTTTTTTGGGTTTTATATGTTTAATAAGTCGTTTTCCTTTGGGTTAATTATATTTTGTACCCCTATATTATTGAAAATTAACAAATGTACCACTTTACTAAACTTTTGTATAAACATATTCTTCTAATATTAAAACGTAACTAATTTACTCTTCCATCCAATTATATGTTAAGTGGCCGTGCTCCAATCACTCACATTCACAACATTCATTCGCACACACAAGCATAATGGAACACCCCTACACTTAAGCACGACATTATCCTCGAAGGAAGAAAGATAAGGAGGTACAACGAAGTTACCATATTAGGTATGAATGATGGTGGAGGGACTAGGAGAACGGGTGGGATCCGAAAGAGCAAGCCAAAATCCAGAACACCACAAGCTCACAAAGCTAGAATTATTTACTCGAAAACAAAATCAAAGTGAAAGAAAGGTCAAACCGGAGTGGTTGGGTTGCCTGCCAACAAGAACTTCTTTCACTTCGTGAACCAGGCGGTTGTACTCATGTTTTGGTCCATCCAAAAACCGCCTTGAAGTTTAGGTTCTCTTCGGTGAGGTAGTGTCTCAAGTCACGAGCATGCAGTGTAGCAAATGATGAAGGCTCATGTACTTGATGGAGATTAAGTCTCCACCCACGAGACATCTTTTTCTTTCCTTCTTCATTTTTTCAGTTTTCCCACACCACTTAGGACATCATGGATTGACCAACATCCCATAGAGTAATCGATGATGGTTTGGCATTGGCTTGTCAAAGAGATGCAAATGGGTCCTGCTCAAGGTCAGGGTGAAAGCTTTGGTGGAACTTGTAACTTGTACAAGCTTCATCCACCATGACCTTGTCTCCATCTTGGACACCATTTTCATCCTCAACCTCCATTCCTTCTTCCAAGATTTGTTCCTCCCCTTGGAAACAATCAAGAATCTCCTTCTCATAACTCACTTCCCTTCTCACCCTTTCTTAAACACACAATGAAGAGCAAGTTTACAAGAAATGCCTTCAATAAGATCCACTGGCATATCTTCATTTGTGCCTAACTCTTCAAAGCTCGAAGTGGAAGATGGAAGGGTCTACCTCCAAAGGACTTGATTTTTCATCATAATCACGGGAGCTCTCCAAGATGATTTCTTCTTGCTCTCCAAAGTTCTCATTGCTTCTGCTTTTGACTTTCTCTTTCTCTTCAAATTATAAGAGATAATTGTTAGCAAGTTGTGCACATGCTTGCTCAACAATCCCTCATAGCCTCTTTGAGTTTCGGAGAATCTCCTTCGATGTCCATAAAAAGGATGAGTCGATAGAGGTGGGGAGTGGGAGATCCACATTTGAGCATCCTTCCTTGGTGATATGATCCCAAATTGTCCCTCAATGAAGTTGGAATTGATTGATCAAGAAGGTAAGCAAAGTACATTAAAGAACACTGAATTTTGGCCAAGTTCTTTTATAGTTTCAGGTAGCCAACTTTGCACGTTGAGAACTTGTTATTGGCTTAATGAAAATTCGAGTTTAAGGCCTTGTTTTGAATATGAAGAGTTTATCTCTCCATTGATGTGCTTTGGAGCTCGAGATGAAGCCCAGAAGAGTGATTTCCAGGTCGATCAAGTTGCTAGCTCAACATGGGAAAAACTACCGAAATATTCTAAGTGTTGGAACGAGTTCGGGAAGGAACTTTAGAAGCCTCAATTGAATGGATGGCATGAGAGTCGAGCTTCAAGAATCATACCTCATGAAAGTAGGTTTCTTCTACTACAACGACATGGCATTGGATGACTAGAATGAAGAATGGAAAGCCTCGAACGAAAGCTCCAAAGATCGTATCAAAACTGAGTTTCCGTCTTTGGAAAACAGGCAATCCGAATCCTTATCGGATTAGGATTCTTTAACTGTTTTGTGTTTAATTCCTTTTCATTGTTGGTGTTGATTTCCTTTTCCAATTGTAATTTGTTTAGGACTTCTCCAAGAGTAGTAGGATTGGCTAGGTCTATTTAAGTAACTTTGATTCGTTGTAATTTTCAGATTTCATAGAATTGAATACAAACTTGTTGCTTCTTGAGTTTGAGAGTTGTTTAGAAGGAGTTCTAAGCAGCTTGAGTGCTTGTATCGTTCAGCTAATCGCGTTGTTCGTGGCCGAGCTTCTGCCTATAGTTTACGAGCCTTTCTCCCTTAGTGAGAATTGCACGAAACTTCCACTAACACAGATTCAAACCATACCCTGTTTGTGGAGTTCTTGCTCGAGGGAACTCTTGGATTTCTTAGCTGTGCTATTCTGATAAATAAACCTCATCTAGGGATTCATCAAGTGGCATCAAGAGCCTGGTTCTACACAGTGGACAGAACGAAGGAAGGCACAACGACGCTCTGGACAAGGTCAAGAGGACCTGTGTCGGAAGACCCTGCTTCTGTATTTCCAAAATCAACGAAGAAGAAGGAGCGGATAGAGATGGCGGGACAAACGTTTGAAATGAAGGAATTGTTGTATTTCCAAAATCAACGAAGAAGAAGGAGCGGATATGTGGTTTCTTTGCGATGAAACGTGGTCTCAGACAAGGAGACTCGTTGTCTC